TAATGTTTTTATCCAGTTAAAAGCATTGAATAGCATATAACATTAAAGGAGGATTTTAGCCTGTGGTGCTCATGTGTGGGTGCTGAATAACTAAAGCCCTGTTCACATTAGTTATTAACATCCATTTTGAGCGATCTGATCTTAAGTGGAAAGTGAGATGTATGGCCATTTACACCTTGCATTTCCATATGGCTCAAATGTATCTCCAGTGACCACGTGACTGGATTATGCAGCTGCTTTCATCTCTGCTGTGATGACACAGTTGATTAAGGTGGCCGAAAGATTCGAAGATGCATTGAAATGCTTTACCATTCATGCTACAAAGGCTACGTGGTTAAATGTGTCCCTGATCACATCCGAAGGTGGTTGTGGTAATTGGATCACCATTGTGTCTCCAAGACGCACTGTACCCCGTTCATACTTGTACTTACTGCAGTCCAGTTATGATCTGATCACCCAGTACACATGTTAATGGCAAGTGTACATGGGGCCTGAATACACCTAGTTTACAATACAACTATACGTGGGTACCATGGCCGTTTTTGTTGTCACTCCCCCAGCTGAGTTTCCCACTAGTAAATACAACATTGTGGTGGTGTTTATGTGCACTCATCTCATAAATATTTCCAACATGACTTGAAGGCATGCAGCAGCCTAGCAATTGAACCTTGGCTCAGAAGCCACTGATTAATTTTCAGAACTTTGCAGTGTGTTTTTTTTTAAATCAGATACCCAATATCTCAAGAGTTTAGAGGCAGGAATGACATTTTACCCGTTTCCTAAACCAAAGGCACAAGAGGAATGATGTAGGATGTGGATTAAACTGTGTTGAACAACACATGCCAATTAATCTTATCAAAAGGTATGTGGCCAAATAGCTAACTGCTCTTTGAAGCTTCCCCCTTTTGGACTGTTATCTGCAGGCTTTTGCACACAATTATGCTGCCAAGTGATCACCATGTTTTCTAAGTAGCTTTGATGCATACTGTAGACCTTACTGTTGACTTCTTACTGAAAGTTTTGACGTATTTTAATTGCAATTACTTAACTCAAGTGGAAATAGAAATAGACATATAAATTTTCATGTGCTCAGGTAATATTTTACAGGGTATCTCTACTTTATCAAGCACAGTAGTTATGCCCTTTGTCCAGTCACTGTTTATTGGCAAAACTTACTTTGAACATCCAGCCATTGCAGTTAGTAAGCTTTCTTTCTTTATCCCTTCCAGTATTTTTCTTGATTTCTCTTTTTTACCCTAAAATTTGTGTCTAACTTTGGTTTTGAAACTCATTAAAGCTTCAAAGGTTATGTCTGGCACAGCAGAAACATACTGTTGCTGTCTTAATAAAACCTCACATCCCTTTACAGGAGAAGGGGAAAATGTTTGTAACTATAACATATGTGAATGTAACTAGCAATATTGTATCATTTTTGTTGGTCAATTCTTCATGAACAGCCTAAAAGGGTAGCTGATGTTGTCAAATGGTTTAAAACATCAAAGCAAAAAAAGTGCATATAAAGTTTTGATATAACACTGACTGTATTCATTTTTTTTTATCATAAACACATTTACACTGTGGTTTTTAATCATGTTAGTCACTTTAAAACAAAGATAGGTGACATATCAAAGGAAAAACCAAGATCATTATAAGATGTCGAGCAACCACAAGCTACCAGAACAGCTTCAGTGCAACTCTGCATAGATTCTACAAGTCTCTGGAACTGTACTCAAGGGACCGTTCTTTCGTAAGAAATTCCTTCAAATAGTATTTTGATTATGGTGGTGGTCTAACACGTCCATCAAAAATCTCCCATAAGTGTTGAAGGGTTGAAATTCATTGCCTGTGAAGGCCATAGCATATGATTTACATCATTTTTATGATCATGAAACCATTCAGTAACACCTCGTGCCCTGTGGATAAGGCATCCTGGATGGAAAGGTTTCATTATAGAACAAAGGCGATCCGTCAGAATAATGTATTGATGTGCAGTGTCGCTTCCCTCTAAGGAGACAAGTGAACCCAAGTCAGGCCAGCAAAATGCCCCCCAATGCATACAGAGACACCAGACCCCACGCTGTAGGGGTCAAGAATTCAGGCCTGTACTGTTCTCTTAGTAGACTCCACGCATGCACTCGCCCTCTTCTCACTTTTTTCCACATCTCTGTAGTCCAGTGTGTGTGGTTTTTTACACCACTGAGCTCACAAACATGCATTCGTCTTTGTAAATGAGGCGTTTAAGCACTGTGGTACTACTATAATATCCCTCTCTGTGTAGATGTGGATGGACTGTTCTTGCCGACACAGTCTGATCACATCCTGCACTGACACGGTCAACCACCTGAAGAACAGCTGCCTTTCTGTTTTTCCATACATAGCACAATAACGCATGAGCATCATGGACACTGAATGTTCAGTTTCCAAACCTGTTTACTGATGTCTTTCCCATGAAGTCACTGGTCCTGTTGAAACATTTGCCAGTTGACCAGTGTTTCAAATTGAAGGTGCTGCCACCCATGCCCCAATAATGAACTTTTTGAAGATCTCTTTCATCTTGCCATCTTGATCAGAAATTGAAATCAAAGTTTTATACATGCCACAGAGTAGAAGTGTACCCAGGCATGAACTTGAAGCCCAACTTAATCAGATCTGAGTGTGAAAGCTAAATTTGAGGCCTGACCACTTGGACACACAAGGATGAAGTTGAAAATTTCCACTCCACCTTAAATGGTGCAGCAGTTACACAATGTTCGCGTATGAACTTCAGCTTTGACACACTAACAGAGATGGATCGTCATGGATACGATTTAACAGTGCTTTGCTTTATTACTAAGCCCTTGAGTTGCTGGGATAAACTGGTATTATACACAGCTATATTACACTAACAGTATTTATTATGGAAGTGCTGATTAGTGTCTACTGCTGCTATTTTCAGGAGTGCTTACACACTTCGGGCAAGTTTAGCAAGCAAGCTACAAAAATGTCTCTCATCATCTGTGGTGTTTTCATGCCTGATGATTACCACTGAATTTCTTACCTTGTTTCAAACTCTAGAACTATTCTGAATACATGAATGCAACTGTCAATCTACAACACAAATTAAAGAATCATATATTAGTAGACAGACCAGAGCCAAAGCGGTATGTTAAGAAATGTCCCAAAACAAGATGTTTTATTGGGCAATTGTCGGGCTTGGATTAGGTAGAAGACCTCTACCACAGATCATGGCAGGATGTTAACTGCTTAGTTGTATCATGCAGTACACCTGTATGGCAGCATCTGCACTCATTACGGTTCTCCAATCATTAATTCAGGTTTTTACTTTTATTCATCACCCAGCTATAGTCTTTTCAGTGCTTTCATTATTTTGGCACAGTCTTTTATTTCAGTAGTCTATCACCAATGCTCAGTTCAGCCTTGTTCCAGGGCTATTGCTTAGAATAGTCTCATCAATTTGCATATATTGAAAAGTAGCCAAATAAGCCATGCTATTTTGCAGGATGGCTCATTTAGGTTCATTCTGCACTGTTTCCAAAAAAGTGCTTTCAGGCCAAGATGGTCTTCCCCATTTTCAACTGGAGAAGGATCGCTAAATTTTTGCAGGACTTTAAAAGTCCATGCTGAATGATTTATTATCAGTTATGATGAGGCACAGTATCTGAGGCATTTACTGTGACTTTACAAAAGAGTCTTACATCACCTTTGCTCTCTGCTCTTCCTCTAAGATTCAGGGGATGATGAAACATCTGGTTAATACTGTATAAAGCTGAGCAAATAAACAAGGCTAGCCTTACTTCTGTATGGCCATACACCTGTGTGAACTTTTAAGTGCACCAGATGTCTCACATAGTAACATAATGCCTTTCAATTATGAAAAACAATACCGAGGCATTCTACTCATTTATCCATTTGAGCTTTCAGAAGTAATAGCTTCATCATTTCGTAGGTGAGGACCACAGTACTGACAAATGTATAAAACAGCAAGGCCAGTTGTACTAGTTTAAAAGATCAGCCATGAGGTATAAAACCATGGATCGTTTGGTTAATTCAGTGGTTCTCAGCCCTGGCCTTGGAGCAGGCCTGGTTCCACAGAGTGTGCCAAAGCATTCATTGTATACTTTGTCTGATTTTTTTAAACAGTCAAAATAGCCATTAACTATAAGGTATTTATTTTTCAGGAGGTATTTCTGAGCAATTTAGATATAGTATAATCCTCTTGCATAAGCAAGGGGAGAGCCTTTACCTGGGTTGTGTGTGAAAATGCCCCAGTGACTCTTGGGGGGAAAAAGAGACTGGAGAGGTTTAGTTGCATTGTTCCTCATATACCTTGTCTTATTAAAGCTTAAAGAAGCTTTTTACAACAACTGTAACATTTCATTATCAAATCACAGAAAAAAAATGGGGTTGTTTTGGTAATATGTGGTTATTTTAGTCATTTCAGTTGAGCATTGTGTGGATTGCAGTATGAGGCCCTGCCCTGCTTTCCCTTATCGGCTGCACCGTCAGTTAAAAAAAACTTACTTCAAAAGTGCAGCGCCTATTCATTTTAAATTCATATTCATATTAATGAGAGGAGATCTGTGGTATCAGGTTAGCCAAGCACTGATGCTACAATTTATAGCCTGTAATCACAAGTGACATCATAAACTGGGAGCGAGGCAGCACCACTAGCAGCCTAGTGCCTCCAGGCAAGTGCCCATTCCACCCTGCCCACACGCCAATCCTGGTTAGAAAAAATACTAAAATATGCAGGCCAGTGAAACTCCAAGACGAGGATTGAGAACCACTGTGTTAAATAACCAAAGCAGCAGTCGGTCAGATACTGTGTGCTGTGACGATACAAAAGATGTGCGATTCCATTCAGAAAAAGTCTCTTCTTTGAGAGCTGTACTGAAAAGCTTTTTAAAAGCAGGCCCAGAGCTGTCTGTGTGATTAAATCATAATGAACTCAAATAAAAATGTTCTCCGATAAATCAGCTAATTTAATCCTGTTCACTCACCCATGACTCGTAATCTCTCAGCCCCCACCACCACCTCACGGTCATCGGCAGAGAACAGCAGCTTGCCTGTGCTTGACTTCACCTCAAGCATCTTGCCCCGCGCGTGAACTCCATGGGAACCTGTAGAGAGAAGCTTTTTTTAATTGCATTTCAGAGTTTATCTGTGAAATATTAAATCCCCCATTGACATGTTTCACATCTTGTGACTCAGAAAGAGAGAGATAATGCAAGGCTTATGCTTGATTGTGGTGAGCTTGTAGGAGGGGTGGTGGGGGGGGGGGGAGAACTTGCCAGTTTATTTACATACATATACACTGAATTGCTAGTTTAGTAGAAACTACCATGTAGGTGCACTTTGTAGGCATACAGTTACTGATGTAGCCCACCTGTTGCTGCACAATTTATCAGCCACCCTCTACCTCGTCCATCATTGCCCAGTTTCTGACTTTCTGACAATAGGACCATTGTTGGCAGTGCACAGGTAGACTCCAGAGGGGGCTTGAGCCCCTGTCCCTTTTGCCCTCAGACTATACAAGTGCTCTCTTGGTTGGTGTATGTCATAGCTGTATTTTATATTGCCTCTGTCATTCTTCAAGATTTGTTTGAGTGAAGGTCAGCCCAACCTTGCTGCAGGGATAGAGCTTGCGGGTTGGCTTAGGTTTCATCTCACATGGATGCCCCCTCTGGTGCAGTACTGACCTGTCATGTATCACCACAGTGCTGGAAAACTTGCCAACAAGTCACTGATACTCTTTTTAAAAAACGCTGTTTGAATAATGTGTTTATTTTGAAAAACAACCAAACATAATAACATAACTTGCTATACCAAATAACAAAGACTGTACAGTAACTAAATACACTAACATGGTAGTGTATGTGGTGCTGGTATGAGTGTATCAGGCACAGCAGGCATGTTAAACTGGATTCCTTTTGGGGCACAGCTCTGTAGAGATTAACAGTTTCCCTTGTCTAACACTTTGAATTCAAGTTGTGAAGACCTTGTTTATTAGGTGTGCAGTCTGCTGTGTTGTGGCACCCGAGAGCTGGAGTGTGACTCATAGGCTACAGCAAGGTGTTAAATTGGGCAGAATATTTTTGGTTTGTGTGAACATTTGTAGAATTCACTTCAACCCATGCTATGAAATTTTTTTTTGTTAAAAGTCAGAGGCATCAGGTAGGATTTTGGTTTTTTTTTTAGAACACGTTATATAGCTTTAAATATTAATGTCACATACACAGCCTCAAAAGGAAGATCTGGCTTGATGAATTGCAAAATTAACATTATACTGATGATATGATGACAACAGTAGATAATCCACTCACATCCTTGAGAGACACTTCCTAAACCAAGTTTTGACCAAGTTCTCTTTAAATTACTTTTTCAGTGTGCTCACAATCATCAGATTCATCTGCTCGAAAAGGGGGTCCAAAGGACAACCAATGTTACAGAATGTTCTTCCACATGTTCAATGTGCAATTACACATTTCCACCAGAGAGATCAGCAAAAGTACACAGTGTAGCATTAAATATTCAGTGTCATAAACTGTGCTGACTGATAACCCCCAACGTCCTCCTAGTTTGTTCAGTTTGCTACTGCACGTCCTCCTCATATTGTTTTACTGTTTTTTGTCATGTAAGTCAGTATTGAGTCCTTCCTGCTGTTTCATGTGGTTTTAACATAAATAGTTTTTAATTTATTCATTGTGCCTCAACCTCTAATACATACATACATACATACATACATCATCTAAACCGCTTATCCTTCTGGGTCGCGGTGGGGCGCTGGAGCCTATCCCAGCTGTCATTGGGCGGAAGGCAGGATACACCCTGGACAGGTCGCCAGTCCATCGCAGGGCAGACAGACAGACATACAGAATCACACACTCACTCACAACTAGGGGCAATTTAGCATCTCCAATCAGCCTGACTGCATGTTTTTGGACGGTGGGAGGAAACCGGAGTACCCGGAGGAAACCCACGCAGACACGGGGAGAACAGGCAAACTCCACACAGAAATGACCCTGGCCGCCCCGCCGGGAATCAAACCCAGGCCATTCTTGCTGTGAGGTGACAGCGCCACCGTGCCGCCCTCAACCTCTAATAGCGTAGATTATTTGCCATTGTCTTTCCGGTTTGTGCTGTTATCCAAAGTAATTCCAAAGCAGTCTGTCGCCTAAGTATCTAGCTTGCATAGCCAAATACATCAATCATCACTGAGGTACCTAAATTTGTTCATATAGTATAGCCCTGTTCATTTATATTGTTAATCAGCTCTATCAGAGATAAACTGGTTGGTTATGTTAAGAAGGCTGGGATTTCAGTAATCTGAGAAGCTTGTTTCCAAACAGGATTGGACTGTGTTGAACGCTTGGCAGTAGGGATGGCTGGTATAAATGGGCTCGTAGGATGAGCCCTCTCTTTGTTTCAAAGGAAAAAAAGCATCAATATAAAGTTTTGGCATCTGCATCGTCTTACTTGATGTTAACAAATAAATAGAAGCTGATTATTTTAGACTTCTGTCGACAATAGCACAACCAAAAGGTCATTAAAACAACATGAACTGGTTGAGATGGGTCTGATCCCTCCCAAGTGGTAGATTAATACAACCTGTGTGTGATTCCATGTCAAGAGTTATGACATATTACACAGCCTCCCTGATTTATTATCCATTTGGGCTCTTTTTTTCACAATGCCCAGCTCCACCTTCCAGCGGTCTGCAGTCAGTACAAGTTGGTGTGTAGGTCTGATTCAAAAATGTGACTGACTGAGAGATACTTGAAGCCATTGCAAAATACTGTATATGCACACATGAATATAAACTTTGAATTTTGTTCACACTGAGAGTCAGATACAGTGAATGTCATTACATTGCATGTCAGTACATGGAAATATTTAATGCAGAAACATGGTAATTTGCTTCATATGAAGCTTGTATTTATCTGAATCCCATTACAAAAGTGCCCATTTCTATTAGTATCCTTATGGGATTTGCTTTATAATGTTAGCACCAAGGGCGGCACAGTGGCGCAGTAGGAACTTAAGATATTTTTTGCTTTGTATATTGTATTTGTTTGTATATTGTATATGTCAGGTAATATGACCAGCGGTCACTGCTAGGCAGCAAAATTTTGCACAGAGGTGAACTTTATTTGACAAGTTTTCCGTTTAAACTGTATCTTCTAAAACAGTAGATAAAGTATAAAGGGTACAGGCCTTTTCACACCAAGTCAGACTTTTACAAACGGAAAAAACACACTTCAGGTTTTGAAAACAAACACATGTATATTAATACCGTCTTTCACCTCGAGTCCGAAACTGATGGACTTTGATACTGCAGCACAAAAGCTTCTACAACAAGCAACACGCTGACTATAAAATAAGCTGAAAGGCTGCTGTATAAGTTACACAAGTTACAGTGACTGTATTTAGCCCTTTTTTAAGTTTATCTAGGTGCATCCTGGTTTGTTCATGCCCCCAAAGAACCACTATCAGCTTTCCTTGCTATGAATGCTCATGTCTTAATGTTTTTTGTCACTGATGATTTAAAAAACACGGTGAAATCTCCACAACGTATTTTTCAGAAGGAGAAGTGGGTCGATAGGCTTGCTGCAGTTCGGTCGCTCCTTTTTAATGTAAGTAGCAACAAGTAGAAGGAGAGCCTCGCATTCCTCCACTGACATACGAAAATACTTTTGGAATTGCTTGTTATACAGCTTCAGCTCTTGTTAGAGGCAGTGAAACTCCCCATGTTTTGTCTTTCCTGTATGGGGTGCACCCAGTGTGTGCATCATTTAGCTGCAGTGCACAAAATGATGAATTCATCATTGCTGCTACTCAAAGAATCCATTTCTTCTTCGTCTCCCGTCTTCCTCCCACATTTTTAGAGTATGTAGACAAATGCATTGGACCTGGTCCCACATTAAAAATCACATCCTTTTTCCATCTGAAAAAAACGTACTTGGTGTGCATAGGCCTTAACACGTTCCCAGTTTCTGATTGAACTCGTCATTTAATTATCCAGCCTTATTATCCAGCCTTTCACTGGCTAAATCAGGTGACCTGACATTGGCAAGTGCTGTTGCCCTGCAGCCATTCACTTTGAAAACCCCCGTTTAGAATTCAGTGACTAAATCACCTGTCCTAATGGACTACTTTCTTCATTTGTGATTTGTATACCTTCTTTTTTAACATGACATTAAAATTGCGGTCACTTAACTGGCCTATTTCAGGCTAAATTACTTTTCATTGATATACACCCCCGCTTTTGCACTATTAACCAGGACTACATAATACATGCATCCATGCACTTGCAATTACAGAGCACTAATACTCTGTAATTAATACGTCTGTGGTTATAGTTATGAGCTGTGATCCCACGAGAGATGAGAGTAAAACTCTGGCCATCTAAGAACTCCTTCTTTATTAAACAGTAATATTGCCATCTGTCCCATAAAATCTAACATTTGCTGCATGACTTCATTCTCCCTCTTTTAACAGACTGCCCCAAATTGCCTGCCTAGGGTCACTATATATTTCAGTGACTGTATTTCTTGTCCCACAGGTTCAAAGTTCATGTGGCAGCTGCAGAACCTATACACTCTTAAAAATAATGGTGCCAAAGTGGGTTCTTTGGAGTGATGCCATAGAAAAACACTTCTGGTACTCTATAAAGAACGTTTCAATGGAAGGCTCTTTAAAAAAAAAAGAACAAAGAACATTTTTAAAACCTTAAAAGTTAATATACCAATTGTAGGTTCTTGTGGAACAATACGTTCAAGCTAAGAGCAATACCTACCTTCCCTACTATGATTCAAAATAGCTTCCACATTGGTGGAGTATTGACCACTTACCTGCAATTAACTGTGAGACCAGCTGGTTCTTCCCATTCAGGATGTTGATGGAGACATTTTTAGATGACTGCAGGAAAAGTGGACTACCCTGTTAAAACAGGAAAAAAGCTGATGACTAAACTGTTCATTCACTTTTCAAATACTTTTATTTAATTAGCTATGACAAAGTAATTCCTGTAATCCCTAGAACCTGCAGCAAAATGGTAGGTAACTTCTAGCCTTCATAACTTCAGAACGGTTTAAGCTACAGACCTGGCCCTAACTAGCTAGCATGACATCAAGCTGTGATGTCAGGATCAGTAAGTAATTTGGCTCAGAAAATCACCTAAAATCCTGAAATTATTGCTCTGCTTTTTGGCTTCATATTCCAAAAAAGTGTTTAAAAATAGCTCCCAAATCACCCAAACCCCACTTGCTACTGTTATACTACATCTCTGCGTTTAGCCTTCATATTATAAACAAAGGGTTAAATAAAGAGACATGATTCACACATCAGATCACTCAGAGCAACCTGCCATCACTAGCCAGAGTGAGAAAAACCAGCTCTAACATCCCACAACCCAGAAATACAGCTCCAAACACAGCCATAACCACTGTAAAACCTGCTATTAGCGCTCTGCTTTAGCCTTCATATGACAACAAAATGGTTAACAAAAACAAAATAACTTTTTTTTTAAGCAAATTGTATATTCCAAACATGTAATTTTTTATCTAATATTTACTGAAGGCCATATGTATGGCCAGCATTTGCATTAATAACAGCTTGAATTCTGTCTGGCACACAGAACTCTGCAGTTGTTTTCTCACAGTGGAAGGATGGACAGAAACACCTGTGGATTTTTTCAGATCTGAAGTAAGAGTGGAGCTTGATGTTCTCCTCCCTCTCGAAGATAAAAGCAATGTTTAAGTACTGTTTAAGTTCAGTTTTGGTGGTCTACCAGGTCTTGCAGGGCTCTTGAAACAAAACAGTTATTGATAAAGACTTTCAGAACTTACTTTATATATAATGTACAATTTGGCCCTGGCTATTTATTATACCGTTTTAATGGATTAATTAATGGTCACACTTTATTTCCATGGTCCCCTATAGATGATCTGCAAACATTTGTGATGTGTGTAGGCCCACACATCAGTTCCTCACTCACAAAACTATTACCATATCTATATGACTTACACATTAGTTTCATGTTAGTTATCAAGTACTTCATATTAGTTGAACTTACGTGTATTAAATGGATAATAAGTCCATATTAAGACACGTCTCCAGAAATAAAGACCATTGTCTAACACTAATTTAGGTCATGATGTGGATAATAAACTTATAATGTATAATTATCAACCAGCTTACACCATGATGACAATATATTTTTTGCATGTATTTGAATGTTAATACAGTAATCAATAATACAGTATTTGTGGTATGTTATGGTACAAACAGCAGTTGGTTGCAGTAAGTTCTTAATATACATTGTGCATGTTAAATATTGATTAGAAAGCACAGCACTGAAGATCTGAAAATGAGAGTATGAGTTATTTGCGTGTCTGAAATTCATGTACTCTCTGCAGCTCATTGGTATCGAGAACAGTTTTTCATTCTGTGGTGTACTGCTTCATTACAGATGGTCCTATATGTTAAAAACATGAGAGATCTCCATAATGTAAATTAAACATCGGAGTGTGTTGCTCCGGTTTCACTCAAGTGTAAAACACTTCCTTAGTGGGTGCAGCAGATCATTGTGAGAACATCTGGTTTTCAGGAAAATTAGGTCAAAACCACAGAAACATATCTAATGAGATCCGGGTTAGATTTGCAATAGACGGAGCTAATTAAGTGAATTAAACACATTTCTGATTCACAGATGCATACTGCCATCATAAGCTGTGAAAAACACCAATAATGAAATAAATGTCTTGTGGGAGTTTTCAGGCAGAAGTTTGACTAAATTTCATGTTAAATAACTTCTTATAAAAAGACAAAAAGACAAATCGGAGCTATTTTCATAATATTCTTGCACTAATCAGATTTGTGTGTGATGTGGAGTGGGCAATATGTTATGTGAGCTCTACTTTGACTGATGTAAAATGTCTTTATCTTGACTAAACTTTCACTCTCAAACCACAAATTTAAAAAAGAATTTTACAAATATAGGTTCATTTGCAATTTTTTGTAAATTACATTTTTACATCTTAGTCCAGAATAGACATCCATGAATCAAAAGTACACAAATCTACTTACACTAATGCAAAAGCCATTATCTTGCACCAAGTTCTCGCTTTTACTCACTATTAAAATAAAATGATTCCATTGGGATTATTTCGTACTGGGTTCTTTTCCTTCCAGTCCAGAATAAATATCTGTGAAAAAAGTTTTCTTCACACTGATGCAAAATGCTTTTACCTTGTCAAAACCTATATTCACAAGCCATAATTAAAACAAAATAATTCCACAGTCTCAATTTTGCTAATTTCATTAATTTCCAATTCATACTGGGCAATTTTCTTCTCAGTCCAGAATAAACACACAAAAACACTGATGCAAAATGCCTTTACTCTGACTTCATCTACACTCTTAAACCATGATTAAAACAAAATGTTTCCACAAATATGGACTACTTTGCTAATTTTGCTCATTTTTAATTCATACTGGGTACTTTTCCTTCCAGGCCACAGTAAACATCTAAGAAGAAAAAAAAAGCTTTACTTTGATGCAAAACACCAAAACCAAATGATTCCATAAATATTTTGCTAATTTGGCTATTTTCTAATTCACACTGGGTACTTTTCCCAGTCCAGAATAATAAACATATATAAAAACAAAACAGAACAAAATCTATGTGCAAATAAGGACTATTTTGCTATTTCCCTAAATTTTAATTCATACTGGGTACCTGGGTACCTTTCCACAAATACTTATACCAGAATAAATAACATCTATGAAGCCCCTCACACCCCAACCAAAAAAGAAAAAGAAAAGAAAAAAGGAGCTTCTCCTACCCTGATACGAAATGCCTTCACTCTGACTAAATTTTAACACACAACTTATAAATGTGTGTTACATATAATTCAAATGATACTGCAAATATGGGCTATTGTATACATTTCGCATATTGCTCTTTCATGAAAAAATGTCTTTACCCTGACTAACGTTTGGCTCCCAAACCAAAATGATTCTCCAAATATGGATACAGTCCAGAAGAAGCTCTGTGACACAATAAAAACCCCAATCACTTTACATACTAATGAAATATAAATTTATAAATATGGGTCACATGGAAGTGTCCTGGGGGAGGTGTTTACACTGGGCAAGAGTCAGATCACTATAGGTGCTAAATTATGAATAGCAGCAGCTTGGGATCTATTGCATAAATCATGTTCTCATGACTATAACATGTCCTGCGCAGGGAGACATCCACGCCACGAATATTTAATTCACCAAGGGCATCCATGCAAACCTAACACAAGACAATGTAGTGAAAGTCAAGCAAACTTGTTCCTCGTTAGCTTTCCACCTCATTTCCCAGCTGTTTAGAGTTCAGTTTATGTTTAGAGCCTATTTTGTATGTGCAGCGTTTTAAAAGTACTGCATAAGGCCTGTTCAAGTTGCTGCTCTTTTTGTTGCTTCAGCCCTTACCCGAAATGTCCAAAGATACCAAAGGTAAATAAGAGGCTTACAGAGGCCATCTTTCCCCATCACCAACGGACAGTTCTTTCTAATCTCGGCAGTCTATTGCTATTCCGTCCACTCCCTCTCCCTCCTCCAAGCTTTCACTGGCTCTCAGTCTCTGTGTTTCGCTAGCGTTAGACAGATGAGATAAGGCCTGCACCCCACACATTATCAAGCCATCCATCCGCCTCATGCTCAGTGATATTATTACGGCTGGCCAGGGTGTGAGTGAGTTAGTATCTAGAAACTGTGGCTGCTGTGGCTGATGTGTACTCACTGGTCTGGACTGGATTTCTTTGGCATACAGCGGCTGGAGGAACTCCGAGTCGCCCTCTAGTTTGAGCCCTCTCTCTGTGATTCGCAAGTGACCCATGCCATCCTAAAGAGAGAGAAAGAGAGAGATGCTGGTCAGTGCAAAGAGCTCTTTCTATGGCCACATGAAATACATTAATAACAGGGTGTAAGTCTCCGACCTCACAATGACTTGATTTAATTACAGTTCTTTACGTTTTAATGCAACATGTACCATTATTTTGGTAAAATTCACCAAATTAATGTTCAACTTACTTTGAATACAGCAAAAGTGCTTTGAGGAACTATTGACACAGCAGTTGGATACAGACATTAAAAACAACAGAATATGTTTTATGTTTGAAAACAGCTCGAGAATCTTGTTCTGGGCAAACAGTGAGTGCAAGCTATTGAATATTGTACTTCCAAAATAACATACATTTCCAAAATGAACTATATGAAATCGAACATCTTGCTGCTAATACATTTAGAGTGTTTGTCTTTGTCCCCATTTAATTCTAAATCTGTGCGCTACCACAGTGTTTACTACCACTGTGGAAAACAAGCACAATGCTGCCTTTATTGTTGGAATTTCTGAGCAAGTGTGTACATACAAAACAGAATTCAGATCAGTAAGCTCTTATGACTGAAGTAATGTTAAAACATGTGATGTGTGGCTCATATTCTTATTAATGCATTTTCCTGCTCAAAATGGTAATTTGTTAAACAAAATAAAAGTCAAATGCATTTTTGATAGTCAAATCTGTACACATCAAATAAACAAGAATGAAATAACAGCATTGAGAAATCATGTTATTATTGGAGAAGAGTAGATTAAGCTTCAGAAATAGCTACTTTTTGTGTCAGCCTTAAGATTTTTATACCCCAATTAATATGCACAATGTAGTAACACTAAAGTCAATAAATGCAGTTAACAAACTGACTTACGGGTAAGCAAACTGCAAACATTATTTGTGGGTTATCTATCCACCTCTTTTTGCTAATTTAGCTTAAAAAAATGGATGGAAAATTTAGAAATTTAGCACGATGGTGGTACAAGCTACTGTTACACTGTCATGATTCTTTGCTTGCTTCTCAATTAAATGACATTAAATATGTATATAAAGCAGAAGCACATTTAAAATTGCTTGTTAATTACTGAACATTATACAGCAGAGCTAAAGACTGATGTCTAACTCTGAATGGCTAATGGACAAAGCAAAACAATTTAGCACATAGTGCGACACTAAACGCTCCAGAACAACACCCACTGGTGCTAACTGGAGGGAACAAAGTGTAATTAAAAGCAACTGAAGAGTGATCTCTGACTCTGAATGGCTAATAGACAAAGCAGAACAATTAACCAGGAGATAAAAGCCATGTTTAATATTACAACAGTCAAGGACTTTTATACAAGCTACGTGAGCCAGCTCTTTGTTTAGTGCCAGCTTTGATCCACACTTCGGCAAAGATGAACCAAATGCAGATCAAGACCTCACAATCCCATAGGACTACAACGAGTTAATCTGCCCATGCCAAGCTTTCATACACTGCCCCCCACTATCTCTCACCTTCACAAACACACACACACACATATAATTATGACCCATCAATATTCCGCAAGCGTGTTAAAGGTGTAATTTAATGCAATTTTTTTTTTTTTTAACACAAAGCAGCTTCACAGAAACCTGGGTCCAAGCCAGGGCTGGGCAATATGATCATACTTATTGTTATCATGATAAATTACATCACAATATGCATTTCTGAGTGTATCAGAAATATCATCAGTTCTTTAAGAATACTGACCAACTCCATGCTTTGTTACAAAGAGAGAATAAGTAGTCCAGTTTGAATTAGTACAGCACAGTATGTGAAATACTGAAAACAAATCATTTGCATAGTTTTTGATAGTCTCTATTTTTAAATATGGCACTAAAAAAACTAAATATTGTAACACATTGTGTATTATAAAAACGTCTTGAAGTTGATATTTTATCCACATCATTCATCCATAGTCCAGGCCTGCAATGGGAAAGCCAAGCACAAGTGGTAAGAGCAAGAGGACGAAAACACAATAGTAAAACAATAACACAACAAGAGCAATAAAGGTTTTGAGATTAATGAGCAAGAAAATGACTAATGAATTTACAAGAATGAATAATGAATAGTGAAGACAGACCTGAAGTAAGCCTAGTCTTTAGACACTAGTATGTAGATTAACCAATGAAAACCGATTACAAAAGTTAAAAGCCTGTCAGTGGTGATGCAAAAGGAATGAGAATACAAATAAAATTCAGAATTTCCATAATCATGTTACTATGAACAGTTAAGGAACCCAGTGTAGTGTATGGTGCAGCAGTTAAAGGCGAAGTGATGATGGACTGAAGTCGCTAAAGCCTCCATGACATCCTGCCAAGTCTTTTATAATTCTGTGAAGAATCTCATCCTTCCTCTTAAGCGTTGCACTACAGCTATGAGACTAATGCAGTTAACAAACGAACACTGCACACATTATTACATATTTGCGTAAACCATATAGAGCTGCACCATGTGAGTTTTTTTGTTGTTAAAATTGAGAAAAGTAGCATTACTGATCAGGAATAGAAAAGGAAGGATCAATCAATTTTCAGCCCAAATATGTGATCAGCAATTGGCTGATATTTCTCTAATTCAGCCAATCCTGTGAGTTGATCAGTGACATAAAACATATGAGCCAGAATGTAACTGTTGCACCTTTAAAGGTGTACTGGTTGAACCAGAAGCTGGCGAACAGGAAGCCAACTTCAGCCTCATCATATCTGTTTCACAAATGATATATATTGCATATTTGGGACCTTTTCGCCATGTGAGCATGAACTGCTGTAATTTATGCAGTTTGTTGTCAAAGCTCTGAGGATTCATCTCTGTTGACATCCGAGTGTTAATCTTAGTATAGCTTACACCGCACTAGCTTCATGACCTACAGCTTTGGCAGGTACTGAAAATAAAAATAAGAGGCAGAACTGCAAACGTGATCGTATGTCAGTCCTTTTTTATTGCATATTTAAAAATCCATCCGTGAAGCAGGAGGACTGTTTTGTCCTGTTAGCTGCGCCACTTGCATAGGCTACAGTTATTTCAATGGCTACGCTAGCCTGAGCACCAGAATGTAACTGCTGCACCAGCAGGTGGAATGGGAAAATGCGAACAAGCTTCATTGTGAGTTGAAAGGCATGATAAGGGATGAGGAGTTTGCTCGCTTGACAGGTGGGTAACATTAACTTATTTTTGCTGTTTCACAGAACCAATAGGTCAGTATTGTTTTGTCCCATTTGCTGATGTTTGTGATAGCTAATCCCAACTGGTCAGCTTTGCAGTAGCTGGTGTAGCGACAGTTTCCTAACTGTTTTCTGTCCATACAACGACGGCGAAGGGTCTTATGGCCCTTATAGTGTCATTCGCTAACTGCGCCTTTGAATGTGGCATCCTGCCCCGCCCTCGATTGTTACTGGATATTGGTTGATTGGGCTGAAAGGCAATCGGCAATCAGTATTGGTCCCAAAAACATGGATCGGTCCATCTTTAGTCAGGAGAAAAAAAAAAACACACGAAAATATGGTGTGCATGTGCTGCTGCAAGTCATCCTGTAAAGCCTGAAATAATAATTTAAAAGTCAGAGATGTTGGGTCAGATTTTACTGGAGTTTTTCAGACCATGTCATACATCTTTACTTACTAATGTCACACACACAGGCACAAAATGAAGATCTGGCTTGATGTTTAGGTCTCAAATGCAAAATCAGCATTATACTGATGAAGATATGATGACAATAGTAGATCATTTACTTACATCCACCCCCTTCACCAAGTTTTGACTTTGTCTTTGAATACTCTTTTAACACACTCGCAAATTCAGATTTATCCACTCAGGGAAGGGATCCAAAGCACAACCGACATTACGAAATGTTTTTCTGCGTGTTGCATGTAATTACACATTTTGACCAGAGAGGTTTATTTTTTGTAGAATTTTTCTTTAAGTATAAAAAGCAATGTATTAAATGTAGGCTGCTTTGAACATGTAGAAGTTCCTACTGAATCACCCTGGAATTTTCAGTATTATATTCATACTGAACATATTCTAGGCTTGACGCTTTGTAGTCAGAAACCTCTGGAGCAAAGATCATTTTTGGCCATGGCGTGCCCCTACTTGTCGGCCAATCCGGCTCTGACCAACCTTCTTTTCATCATCAGATTGAGCATCTCGTTTAAATCAAAGCTCCAGATTGACCCCTGTCTCCTTTCCAGCATATGTCCCTGCACAATCATAGCAGTCAGAGAGCCAGATTTTCGGCCAAAATGTTCCTCACTGGGGCACAGCATTACTCTGGCACTAGTCTGGCACACTATTGCATGCCTGCTTTCTGAATGTGCTCTGTGAGTGAGGAGAGAATGTAAGTATGCTCTGCTTTTATGTGCTGGGTATGTGGCTGGGGAGTCAGCAGAGATCGTGATAGCGGTGTGGTATGCATCTGGGGAACAGAGTGTGTGTGTGAGCCATTCCTGCATCGAGTGTTCAGCGCAAGAGAGGCTGACGAGGCTGGGAGGGAGGTTGGAAGCAAACCCCAGCGGGTCGGCATGTTTTTTTTGGTTTGTAGAGAGACAGTGAGCGAGAGACATGCAGTAGCAACAGCAATCTTTCTGAGTGCCTCCTGAAGCCAGAAGCAAGCAGAATGGAGTGACTGCAGGAGAGGAGAAGAGAAGAAAGGAACGTAGGCGAGAAGAGAGGAGTGGCGTGTGATGAATAATTCAGGCGGGCGTGCGGGCGGCTGACAGAAAGGGCCGGAAACTCTCAGGTGTGTCTGAGCTAAAGCTCTGTGCCACAGTTTACGCAGCATCAAGGAGTAAATTGATTTCTACTCACCACATCCCCACCACCACTGTCACAGCGAGGGGAGTTCTGATATTTATTGCATGCTGCAGAGTGTGTGCACGTGTGTGTGTACGACTGGGCGTGTGTGTGTGTGTGTGTGTGGTGGAGGGGGGGAGGCACCCTCCTTTATGTGCAGATGTGACTTACAGGGGTGGCACCATGAGGGGTTTTGTAGTGGAA